GTCAATGCCAGAGAATAACCAGTCTCCGTAATAGAATTCATTGGGTGTAAAAGGCCAAATAGCAGTGAAAAGTGGATCACTGAAAATCAGTGATGGCACCAGGTGTTCGCGAAAAGGGTAAGCTCGTCATGCCGATACGATGACATGTGTCAACCAAGATAGCGAGCCTGACCACACGTTTCCATTAGTCGCTTCTTACGACAATCAAAGGTTGCTGAAAACCAACTCTTACCCGGATCTTCTCGGAGTTTATTGTGTAACTAAGCAAGGTTTCACGACCGGTCATTTGATATTCTGGGTAGCTGTGAGTTTGTATGGAGACTAGATATACTTTCAACTACAGCTGCAAAACCGCAGATACTTTTTTATGAACCAAAACATGTTTTTAAGAAAAGACCTTGCAACATTATAATGTCTGACAATATCAATATTTCCTACAAGTCTTAAACATGATAACTTTTTTCAAGCATTTTCGAGGACATATATACTTTTTAATGATTTCCAATCCTTCGAAATAGAACATATTGCAAAACATATCTGCACACATTGTCCGTAACCGTTAACGAGATGTCATTGGCTATATTTTGCCTCTACGTATTCGACTTAAGCATCGTCTGCAGTTGTGTGTCGAGTATCATGCATATCGTCGACGGAAAATACAGGATGTTGCGTACACAAAATCGACAGATTAGGTGGAGGAAGTGTCATGATGTTAGAGAGATCTCTAATGTGCGAGTAACAGGTCTTTTTCATATTTAGGGCAACTTTACAGCTGTGCGTTATAGTGAGATCTTATACATGTACACTCACGTTATCCCGGCTCTGCAAGCACTGGGTGCCATGTTTCAGCACGACAATGACCGACCTACACAGCACGAGACTCTACTTATATCCCGGGAGTTCGAAACATAAACGAACTGCCGTGGCTGTCAAGGTCACCGAATCTCACCCCAACTGAGCATCTGTGGGATGAGTGAGACATACGTTTACGTCAACTTCAATCACGGCGACAGAATCTGCAGCAATTACGCTAAGCTATTCAGGAAGAATGGGTTGCCATTCCACGGATTTTTTGGTTCCATTGGCAGAAGGTGTCGTACAGTCATTGAGGCCAAGAAACAGTTTTCACAATGAAACGAAGTAACCGCCAGTCAGAGGACATTTGAGGTATGTATAGTGTCCGCGTCGATAAATCAATGAATGCTGTGATAAGGGGCTTATAAGTCGGGATAGGGATTGTAGGACGCTTCACTCAGTACATGGGGCGGCCAAATTGTCATATAAGTTTATCTTCAGGAAAGGCTTGGAGCACATGTTGTTAATTTTGGACATGCGTCTTTCCCCCTTTTTACATTTAGTAGGTTATAGAAACCACATCGGGTGAGTCTGTTGTGAGTGAGTGAGTGGTGGGCGAGTGGGTGAGCGAGAAAGTGAGTTGTGGGTGATTTAGTGGTTGGATGAGTGAGTTTCGGGCGAGTGAGGGACTTGTGGGTGAGTGGGCGACTGAATGACTATGTGTGCGTGAATTATTGTTGAGCCAGTGAGTAACAAACAAAAGCGTTTATGCGAGATATTGGCGTGATTACAGTCAACACCCCGCCTTTAATCTGTTAGTACTTATCATTGAGCAATGAGAACAATAATTGAGTAAGTGATACACAGTGCGCTAAAGGTAGTGTGTTAATTTAACGTTTCGTTCTAGTGTCTATATAACACATGTTGTGCAATAAAGACAGTGTTGTAACGTTACGTTCTAGTGTCTATATAACACACGTTGTACAATAAAGACAGTGTTGTAACGTTACGTTCTAGTGTCTATATAACACACGTTGTACAACAAAGGTAGTGTTTTAACGTTTCGGTCTAGTGTCTATATAACACACGTTGTACAATAAAGACAGTGTTGTAACGTTACGTTCTAGTGTCTATATAACACACGTTGTACAATAAAGGTAGTGTTTTAACGTGACGTGCTAGTGTCAATACAGCACAAGTTGTACAATACAGGTAGTGTTTTAACGTTTCGGTCTAGTGTCTATATAACACACGTTGTACAATAAAGTATTCTTCTAACGTGACATCCTAGTGTCTATACACTGGTAAGATTCTTCAGGACAATTGGCAGGTATTGGACCTTCATTTAACATGTGCTCTTTGTATAATTTCCATCCGGGTTATAGGGCATCGGTGTCAGTATGAAGATGTTCTGCACCAGCTTGCTTTCGAGCTCGAGTGGAAGATCAACTTCACCTGTAAAAACGCCTTGACTGCGGGTTATATATTCCCTACAAGTACCCCGGGCTAAACCCCGGGTTATATATTCCATACAAGTACCCAAGGCTAAACCGTGGGTTATATATTCCATACAAGTACCCAAGGCTAAACCGTGAGTTATATATTCCATAGAAGTACCCCGGGCTAAACCGCGAGTTATATATTCCGTACAAGTACCCCGGGCTAAACCGCGGTTATATATTCCATATAAGTACCCCGGGGTAAACCGCAGGTTATATATTCCGTCCAATTAGCGCGGGCTAGACCGTGGGTTATATATTTCATACAAGTACCCTGGGCTAAACAGCAGGTTATATATTCCATACAAGCGTAGCCCGGGCTAAACCCTGGGTTATATATTCCATACAAGTACCCCTGGCTAAACAGCAGGTTATATATTCCATACAAGTAGCCCGGGCTAAACCCTGGATTATATATTCCATACTAGTACCCTGTGCTAATACCTGGGTTATATATTCCATCCAAGTAGCCCGGGCTAAACCGCGGGTTAAATATTTCATACAAGTACCCCAGGCTAAACCACAGGTTATTTATTTCATACAAGTACCACGGGCTATACCCAAGGTTATATATTCCATACAAGTACCCAGGGCTAAACCCTAGGTTATATATTCCATACAAGTACCCCGGGCTAAACCCCTGGTTATATCTTCCATACAAGTACCCTGGGCTAAACCGTGGGTTATATATTACATATAAGTACCCAGGGCTAAACCCCGGGTTATATATTTCATACAAGTACCCGGGGCTAAACAGTGGGTTATATATTCCATACAAGTACCCCGGGGTAATATATAGTTGGGATATCTGTAGATCAATCACAGAGTCCATTAGTGGGTCCATTATATATATATATATATATATATATACACATATAAACTCTTGCCAAAGTGTCTGTGACACAAGCCATTTCTTAGTATTGCATACTGAGTTATATTTCTACTTCAACTACTTACATAATGTACATTGTATGTGTGAAAATGTTATGTAGAAGCTGCTTCCTTATTTCAGTTATAACTCATAGGACTAATGTGAATAGCTGGACATCGTCAGGGACACGTGGGATCGACCCCTCCCCGTCTGATGGAAGGACGTTCAACGAAGGGTGAAACCACGTGACTCTGGCCAGCTCGTGTACAGAATGCAAGACTTGTACCGTGACATCCATGTTATGAATTAGAAGTCAGAAGTCATTCACTCGGTTGTCTGCCCAAACATGTAATATGAAGAACAGCATGTTGTGTCTCACATGGTGTTTTGTAAAACCACAGACAATTATTAATCAGTAAAAAGCTCGATCGCGCTTGTGTTACAGGGGTTTCAACCCATATCCCCTTGAGTAGAAAGCGTTTTCACATAAAACGAAGTAACAAAATGGCCGCGGTCAGCCCGATGATTGAGTCGACATGTTAAAGTATTTCCAGCTCACGCGTTGATCACATGGTGCAAGAATAGCCGTGCCAGACATCCTGATTGTAGGGCGCTTCTCACACTAAGGACGTATGTTCATGGGATATACGACCCTTTGAAAAAAATATTGTTTCTCATGACTTTTATGTATTATTCCTTGAGTAGTTATGTGAAGCCACATTGACTGAGTGAGCGAGTGAGTGGATGTGTGAGTTGTATGTGAGTGAGTGGGCGAGTGAGTGGGCGAATGAGTTGATGAGTAATTTGTGTGTGAGTTGTGTGTGAGAGTGAACAGATGAGTGAGTGAGCGAGTGACGATTGAGTAGATGGGTTCGTGATGGGTAAGTTGGTTGTGAGTGAGTGAGTGGGCGAGTGATTGGATGGGGGAGGTTTGAGTGAGTGGATGAGTCAGTTGTGTGTGGGTGGGCGAGTGAATAGATTAGTGAGTTGCGGGTGAGTGAGTCAACCAGTAAGTGGATGAGTGAGAGGATGGGTGAGCAAGTGGATGGGTAGATGACGTATCGGTCTGTGGGTGAGTGAGTGGATGAGTGAGTTGTGTATTTCAGTTGTTTTAGAGGTAAGGTGTAGTGAAATGGGGATTAAGGTCGCGCTCAAGATTATTGCACTTATATACCGACGTGTTTGTGTGTGTGTGTGTGTGTGTGTGTGTGTGTGTGTGAGCAAGCCCGGACTAATGCCGTTTTCATAGTGCTAGTCCACTGAGATAACATGCCACAGTTTATCATGAATACCCAACTCAGACACAGTAAGCTGACTCCGAGCCAACCAATCCTTCTTTGATCCCCAGGTAGCGTAACAACAAGTACCATCTTTGAACGCCGGAAAATTGAACCCCGACTTTCCGCTCTCCGGGCAGACGCTCTATCACTAGGCCACGCAGGTGGTCAATTTGTTTAAGAAGAAAACGCACACGCGATCGCCGAAGTGAACTTGCTGCCATACTGGCTTATGTTTGCAAAATTAAGCCAGTTATGAGGCACCGGTTACGTCACAAATATTTCACACTCGGCTGCGATACATACATACCTGAATACTTATACATTTTAGAATAAAAAGACATACTGTCTATCACATATAAATGGTCTAGATAAAACTTGTATATACCTCAAGCCATCCACCCGACTTGATGTTGTCACCTTCACCCCAGGACCGTACTCCGATCCCTTGCATACAGGAATGTGCAGGTAATTATTAAAACGAGAGTTGGGGAATTAGCTCGCTTGGCAGAGGTACTTCTGCACACGACCAACCCACACAACAACACAAGACCTGAGTGAATAGACAGTCAGTTTATTAGACAGCCACAGAGTCTTATATATAATCAGTCAATTAGAAATGTTTACAATCAATTATTAGAGAATGTTTACAATCAGTAATAGAAGTACATATATGTGAAGAACATTAGATGAACATGATATAGAATCATTACACAAGATACATACTGCATAAGTCATATTCATATTCCAAGGTACACAACGTAATACAACAGTTTACATGTGATTGAATTGTATATACCCGACAAACTCTAACTTATACATACCCGAGTAGGTATTCACACAAGATACATTCAGTTAAGCCACAATGCATATTCCAAACGGTAAATTAACATATTTGGCATAATCTGTACACAGAAGTAGTACAATGGAAATAGCTAAGATATACACACAAGTATGACATTTTCAGTTACCAATTAAACATACAGGTATTGCCAATGTTAAGAATTAACATAGTACAAGATAGTAAGGTTTCTTACCTGAGTGAATAAACAGTCAGTTTATTAGAAAGCCACACACTGATTTCTGACTGTCTGTCGTCCGTATTTATACCTATTCTAGCTATAACAGATAATCTCATTTCTCAGCGCGTTGTTAGAATGTTTAATTCACACACGGCAGATAATTCGTGCAGCTCAGACAATGTTATTCTCTGGATATTCACAGCCACGTGTTGACGCTAAACTAAGTCCGGTAAACACCATGTGAAATACTGTGTTCTGCTAAAAAAGTAGCCATAAAACTGTCAATGCTCGATTGAAAACATTTGAAATGCCCAACATTATTATTTGAACAACTTGTGTCACTCTTGTGGTCTGACTATTACAAAGCCTGTCATTCTTCAGGCAATAACCAATATATCATATGTTAGTTTGTTTCTTGTTCAACGCCACACTCAGCAATGTTCCAGCTATATGACGGTGGCCCGTAAATAATAGCGTCTAGGCCAGACAATCGAGTGATTGATATCACGAGCATCGATCTATGCAATTTGAAGTCAACCACTTCACCGAACATGTTAGTCGCCTCTTACAACAGCATGGGTTGCTGAAGACTAATTTTAGCTCGGATCTTCACATAAGCTGCGACAATAATAATAGGTTTAAAAAGTGAATAATTTCATACTTTAAAGTTTACACTGTTCTTTCATGCTGATTGGCTGAATGGTTAGTCACGTGATCAGATATTTGGAGTTCACACACCTGTGAACGGACAGAAAAGCTCACACGATGTGAACATTTTTTTGTGAAATTGATCCTGTGAACTTTTGCCAGAACTTCTTTCCAAGATTTCCCCGAATTTTCGATCGGTGTTAACAATTCACTTGTTTTTCTTTTTTCTTTTTAATCACTGCATTTATCAGAAATATAATTAATTTAGTATTTTTCGTCTGCTGCATGAAACAAAATGGATTGTCCTTACGGTGATTTGTATATGGAATGGCTATCTATCAATACCAATAACGCAAGTGAAGAAAAAGAATTCTGTAAACTTACTGAGGTGAGCGAAATTGATTTATTGACGGATATTGACTTTGATGCCTTGTTTTCGGAAATGACAGGAATTTAGCACCAAGGCAATTGCAAATGACATCAATGTTGTACCCTGATCAGATGTGGCCGTCGACACAGATCAAAGCGACTGCTCCTGATCAATCCCAAACTAAAACCTGATTCACATTCGTATCAGAAAAAACCCTACAAGATTTTGAGAAACCAAGACACAGCAAATCTACAATTAAAAACACTAAATTAATAGGCTCTGAAAATGTTCAATGGTAAGCCAAATAAAATTAATCTAGCTTTTAAAAATATAAGACATAAAAAAGGTAAGGAAAGAAACTTGAAATAAAAAAATAATAATAATAAACTTGCTTCGATCTAGAGATCTACCCGTTTTACCGATTGGTCATCGGAGACGGTTGGTTTGTTGTTTAACGCCGCACTCAGCAATATTCCAGCTATATGACGTCAGTCTGTAAATAATCGAGTCTGGACCAGACAATCCAGTGATTACTATCATGAGCATCGATCCACGCAATTGGGATACGGTGACATGCATCAACCAAGTCAGCGAGCCTGTCCACCCGATCCCATTAGTCGCCTCTTACGTCAAGCATAGTCGCCTTGTCATCGGAGACGAGAAAATGCCCGTTGACGGAACTACTAGTCCGGTTTCTGAGTTGGTCGACCTCCTTCGTGTGCGTATTCTAGGCCGAGAAGCGGCGGCACATGAGGAAGGACGGGGCACAGAAACGAAGCTGACATCAGGTAAGCAAAGTATTACAGCATACACGACAAATCCCAAGCTCCAAATATAACACACCTTGACCTTGAAAAGTAACACAAAACACGCGAGTTTCAGAGCACGCCGTTCAATCCCCACCAGTTCACATTCCACAAGGCGCTTGTGAAACTTAGACACAGTTTAATCAGCGCTTTTAAATCGTTCACACTTCAATGAACCCATCCAAACTGATCTTCAATTCTTAAATACATGTGTAATCTACAGGCAAGTGAAGTGAAATAAAGAAATCTGTTGTCAATCTTGTGCTCTCGGACGCATGTCATGATCAGAGAACCACATACTGTGTCATAGTTTAAGCTGCTACAAAAACATCCTGATGATGAAACTATTAATGTTTGGATTCAAAACAGTTATAATTCACAGGCAAGTGATGTGAAAAGAAGAAAATTGCTATTTGAAACATTTTTTTGTAAAACTTCACTTCACTCATTTTCATATCACATCACTCTCAAAACATCACACCGTGTCTCATGTTGGAAGTCACTACAGCAATAATTTCAACATAAAGATACTCATGTGAGAATTCTAAATACTTTGTAAACACTGGAGAACCCTCTCGTGCAGCAAAACATCACATTTAGCAAACTTCGTTACTTTTTGTGAACATGAAATAACATAGAAACCAGACGCTTATATGTCCGCTTCTCTCAGTTAGTACACGTAATTGAAACAGCTGATATAAATCTCTCAGTTACACCAGATACCATACAATAATCTGTTATATGGTCTCTGGTTACACTGATAACTTCAAACAGTCTCATGTCTTGTTTATTTCCTATGTCAGCGCGTCATGAATCAGTGACATCTTGGTGCCAGTGATGGCGATGTTGTCCCCGCTGATCAGCTCCATGTTGACAGTACAGACACCTGACGGCGGCACACTACACACGGGGTACAGGTCTTCCCCGAACCTCTCATCAAACTTCCCTAAAACAATCCCTCTGTTGAGATCGATGAAGGCCACTCTGCCCCTCCCCACATCCAGCACCACGCCATAGTGGAGGGTGGCCTGTGTGCCGGGAGTGAGGGACATGGTGTTCTGGTGACACTTGCCCCGCTCCTCCTCCCGACACACCGTGGTACAGAAACTCCCCCCGTGTCTGTCACATCTCGCTACACTGACACACCAGGAACGACGCTGTAGAGAAACATACATCTCACTGTCCACCTGTCCTGCCTCCATCACCCCAATCTCCAGGACATACGGCCACCCTACGTCCACCTCCCGCAACCTTGACCTTGTCTCCCAGTATCTGGGTGTGTTGTATACCGGGATGAGAGCGGGGTGGGGTGGAGAAAGGGGGATGGGGGTGGAGGCACAGGTCCCTATATACTCCTGTAGCCTGCGCCTGTCATGTGACCATGTGTCGGGCTCCCAGTTGACCAGTTCACCGTCTGTAGTTACGTGGCAGTATGTTGTGTTGGCTCGAGCGGCGTCTAGATGTAGTTTAGGACCTGGAAATATAGATGGTGTTTGTTGTATGACGTGTTTATTTACTGTAGATGACAAAGTCGGACATTTGTTGTGAATCTCGGGAGGTTATCTGTAAACAGCCCGCTGAATGTTCGACTGTGAGTTTCACCAGTTTGTCAATTCGGTCTTTTGTGTGACTCATAGTGGAATAAATATACTGTAAAACTATATGTATGTGAATTCTAAATGAATTTTATACAAAGTTACATGGTTTGATAAACAAATAAACATCAAATAAAACATTTTTTGACAAACTTTTGTTCCGCCCTTTTGCTGTGATATGGAAGTCAGACGTCAAGGCTCTTTGCAGAAATATTTACACAATTTCATGTTTAAACTACCACTGTGTGAATTCTAAACTCCTCTTGTACAATATAAAATACAATGAAACAGAAAACTAAGTCAAGTGAAGACATTTTGACATTTGTCCAGACAACAGACAACACATGACCAGATAACTTCTATGTCCGCTTCAGTCACTTTCACAGTCAGCACGTCACACGGGGCGGGGAGGCTGTGCCGTGTCCTGGCGGGGAATGGCGGGATGTGCCGTTATAACTACACGTTTGGGGATTCTAAATGATTATTACACATAACTACACTGACTGATACATGAATAAACACCAAACCTATATATTTCTACATTTGTTTTATCAACGTTGTTTTGTCAATCTATCTAGATTGATGTGTTATAAAACAGACGGTTTGATTGTAAAATAATACATCACATTCATATCGCCTGATTCAACCTATCTCTGAGATGATATTTGTTTGTACTAATGTGTTTGTAAAGAAAGTAGCGACTGTGCCAGGTCATACATATTAACTATTGCAAACAAGTTCATTTGCTTAGTACCATCGCGAATGTATTTTTTGTTACTCTCTTCTGATGTGTTTCACGTTTCACCTCTTCATATATGTTTACACACATAACAATAATAATATCAAATTACGTGTTTTAAGAGTTGCTTATTAACACAACATATTTATTTACATAAACGTTTAATAAACTCATGTTCACATTTATAGTCACCCCTATACAAAGACGCATATATCTGGGGAGGAGACAATAATTATAGTCACTCCTATACTAAGACGCTTATATGTTAAGGGGGGGGGGGGGGGGGGGGGGGGGGGGGATTAATTAATTATACTCACCCCTATACAAAGACGCTAATATCGGGGGGTTGAGGAGGTATGCTGTTAATAATGATAGTGTCCCCTATACAAAGAGTGAGTGAGTATGGTTTTACGCCGCTTTTAGCAATATTCCAGCAACATCACGGCGGGGGACACCAGGAATGGGCTTCACACATTGTATTTATGTCGGGAATCGAACCCGGGTCTTCGACGTGACGAGCGAACGCTTTAACCACTAGGCTACGCGACCCCCCCCCCCCCCCCCCCCCCCCCCCCCCACACACACACACACACACCTCCTATACAAAGACGCTAATATTGGGGGGTGGAGGGGGAACGGTGTTAATAATGATAGTGTCCCCTATACAAAGACGCATATATCTGGGGAGGAGACAATTTATTATAGTGCCAACTATACAAAGTGGCATATATCTGGGGGTAGCAATAGTTGTTGTCATCCCTACACAAAGACGCTTATATCTGGGGGTGACAATTATTTTAGTGCCCACTATACAAAGACGCATATATCTGGGGGTAGCAATAATTGTTGTCACCCCTATACAAAGACGCATATATCTGGGGGTAGCAATAATTGTTGTCATCCCTATACATAGACGCTTATATCTAGGGGTGACAATTATTATAGCCATGAGTTTAAAATGTCATTACCTTCACAGTGTAGTTTGTTGCAGACCTATATATTCTTATACATGCAAATATAAAGCAGGTGAAAGATCAAATTGCACTCATGAGCGAGAAGAATTCCGTTCCCAGTTACTGATAACAGATGAAGATGGTGACGTCACTTCCTGAACGCAATATTTGCAGTTCATGGGTTGAGGGTATTTATCATCATATACACCTCTCAACAGTTGATAGGGACACTGAGATATCTTACACTGTGACGACATTCAGAGATCAACAACTTAGTGAAATGAGCATAGATCCATTTTGAGCGACGTAAACAAATACCCGATTGTCTTTGTGGATTCAAAATAACAAATAACAAGAGCCTGTAGTGCTTGCACTTGTGGACACTAGGTATGCACTCAACGATCAACTCATAGTGTAAAACCAAAACCGTGATCGCAGGGGTGGGGTTGTTGTTTGTCAGAAAGGCATGTTTGTTCAGATATTAAAACCAGAGTCGTCATATCCTGTCAGACATTTGCGACGGAAGACATGGCAGTAAACACGAGGCAGGAAATCTTGCAAGAAACAAGCACGTTGCTACAGTTAGTTTGAACACCTGAACGACCTGCAACATCGCCGACTGTGTGAAATGTATGTGTGTATAACAACCTGCAACATCGCCGACTGTATGGAATGTTTGTGTATGTAACCAAGTGCAACATCGCCGACTGTATGAAATGTATGTGTGTGTAACCAACTGCAACATCGCCGACTGTATGGAAGGTATGTGTGCGTAACCACCTGCAACATCGCCGACTCTATGGAATGTATGTGTGTGTAATCACCTGCAACATCGCCAACTGTATGGAATGTATGTGTGTGTAACCACCTGCAACATCGCCGACCGAATGGAATGTAAGTGTGTCACCATCTGCAACATCGCCGACTGTATGGAATGTATGAGTGTGTAACCACCTGCAACATCGCCGACTCTATGGAATGTATGTGTGTGTAACCACCTGCAACATCGCCGACTGTATGAAATGTATGTGTGTGTAACCAAATGCAACATCGCCGACTGTATGAAATGTATGAGTGTGCAACCAACTGCAACATCGCCGACTGTATGGAAGGTATGTGTGTATAACCACCTGCAACATCGCCGACTCTATGGAATGAATGTGTGTGTAATCACCTGCAACATCGCCAACTGTATGGAATGTATGTGTGTGTAACCACCTGCAACATCGCCGACTGTATGGAATGTATGTGTGCGTAACCACCTGCAACATCGCCGACTATATGGAATGTATATGTGTGTAATCACCTGCAACATCGCCAACTGTATGGAATGTATGTGTGTGTAACCACCTGCAACATCGCCGACCGAATGGAATGTAAGTGTGTCACCATCTGCAACATCGCCGAGTGTATGGAATGTATGAGTGTGTAACCAACTGCAACATCGCCGACTGTATGGAATGTGTCTGTTTGTAACCACCTGCAACATCGCCGACTGTATGAAATGTATGTGTGTGTAACCACCTGCAACATCGCCGACTGTATGAAATGTATGTGTGTGTAACCAACTGCAACATCGCCGACTGTATGAAATGTATGTGTGTGTAACCAACTGCAACATCGCCGACTGTAGGGAAGGTATGTGTGCGTAACCACCTGCAACATCGCCGACTCTATGGAATGTATGTGTGTGTAATCACCTGCAACATCGCCAACTGTATGGAATGTATGTGTGTGTAACCAACTGCAACATCGCCGACTGTATGGAAGGTATGTGTGCGTAACCACCTGCAACATTGCCGACTCTATGGAATGTATATTTGTGTAATCACCTGCAACATCGCCAACTGTATGGAATGTATGTGTGTGTAACCACCTGCAACATCGCCGACCGAATGGAATCTAAGTGTGTCACCATCTGCAACATCGCCGAGTGTATGGAATGTATGTGTGTGTAACCACCTGCAACATCGCCGACTGTATGGAATGTATGTGTGTGTAACCACCTGCAACATCGCCGAGTGTATGGATTGTGTATGTGTGTGTAACCTCCTGCAACATCGCCGAGTGTATGGATTGTGTATGAGTGTGTAACCAAATGCAACATCGCCCACTGTATAGAATGTGTGTGTGTAACCACCTGCAACATCGCCGACCGAATGGATGTATGTGTGTGTAACCGCCTGCAACATCACCGAGTGTATGGAATGTGTGTGAGTGTAACCACCTGCATCATCACCGAGTGTATGGAATGTGTGTGTGTAACCACCTGCAACATCGCCGACCGAATGGAATCTGTGAGTGTGTAACCAACTGGAACATCGCCCACTGTATGGAATGTGTGTGTGTAACCACCTGCAACATCGCCTACCGAATGGAATGTATGTGTGTGTAACCACCTGTAACATCGCCGACTGTATGGAATGTGTGTGTGTGTAACCATCTGCAACATCCCCGACTGAATGGAATGTATGTGTGTGTAACCACCTGCAACATGGCCAAATGTATGAAATGTATGTGTGTGTAACCACCTGCAACATCGCCGACTGTATGGAATGTATGGGTGTAACCGCCTGCAACACCGCCGACTGTATGGAATGTGTGTGTGTGTAACCATCTGCAACATCGCCGACTGTATGGAATGTATGTGTGTGTAACCACCTGCAACATCGCCGAGTGTATGGAATGTGTGTGTGTGAAACCATCTGCAACATCGCCGACTGTATGGAATGTATGTGTGTATAACAACGTCCAACATCGCCGACTGTATGGAATGTATGTGTGTGTAACCACCTCCAACATCGCTGACTGTATGGAATGTATGTGTGTGTAACCACCTGCAAGATTGCTGACTGTATGGAATGTATATGTGTGTAACCACCTGCAACATCGCCGACTGTATGGAACGTATGTATGTATAACCACGTGCAACACCGTCGACTGTATGGAACGTATGTATGTATAACCACCTGCAGCATCGCCGACTGTAGGAATGTACGTGTGTGTAACCACCTGCAACATCGCCGACTGTATGGAATGTATATGTGTGTAACCACCTGCAACATCGCCGACTGTATGGAACGTATGTGTGTATAACCACATGCAACATCGCCGACTGTATGGAACGTATGTATGTATAACCACCTGCAACATCGCCGACTGTAGGAATGTACGTGTGTGTAACCAC